ATAAATATAAAATAATGCTTGCTTTAAAATTAATCCCCAGAAACATGACTGAATTAGCCTATTAGGTGATGTTGGCTGTATTTATTCCCCACATGATAACTGAAATAAGGATGTCTTGGCACAGCTGTTGTTCAGTTTTTGTGTCAAAAAAAAAGGCAGTTTTGGTCATTCCTGAATTTTGTTAATAAATTCATGTTAGAGTCAAAGACTTAAGATATTGATCTTCCTATTTGCTCCTGAAATATTAAATATCTACCACACATACCTAAAAGCAATATGACTATTTAACTGGATTGGAAAAGGAGGCAGGGAAGTGACAAAAGTTCCATTAAACTTTTTTATATTGAACAAGCCATTCCTTCAGACAGCTACTGTCAAGTATAGTTAACCCACTTGTTATCCCAGCCACTGTTCTCAGGAAGCTGAGCAAGACACCTATTTTGAGGTCAGCCTGAGCAACTTAGTGAAAGTCTGTGCCAAAATGAAAAAGGTGGGGTATGTAGCTTAATGACAGAGCACTTACCTAGCATGTAGGAGACCCTGGGTTCAATTCCAACAATGCGAAAAAGTTTAAGAAGAAAATCCACTACCCATTTTATTTATAAATATGAAATCAGGCCTACTTGATTTCAAATAGCAACAAGTTAGAATCCATGTCTAGTTCACAAGATTTTCTTTCTATTGTACTGAGAGGATAAACAAATGCTATGAAGTCCTAGTTGTTTTCTAGAAATGAAACAATATAGCAAAACTAATAAAATGAGTAAGTATGTGTTTTCACATTCAAGAAGTTGAGAACAGCAGCAGCTCAGAAAAAATTTCCACAGGGTATCTAAATAACTTCATTATTTGTAGATAATGGTTTCCCTTTTGCAAAACCAGGTAGACTATACTTAGTGTCACTGTGATGGCAGTAGCTTACAGAGGTAGTCTGGAGTTTAGCAAAGATTTTGGAGTGGATACATGCGTTATCTAGAATAATCAAATAATTTGGTCAACAGATCAAATGATTTACAGCAAACAAAAATAAAATACATAGGTAAAGTTGTAAATCCTCCAAGATCATTTTGACAGAGTGAGAAATACAGTATTAATACTCCTTTTCATTGGAAACTACAGTATAGCATTTTATAGACACTGAAGAAATTCAGGTTTGACTCGCCTAGTCATTAATCTTTATAGGAATGGTAAATTTCTTTTTGTAAAAAAATAAATTGCTTATAAAACTATTTGAATTTAAATTTATCCTGAGATTTGCATACTGTCTATGTGGGTAGTTTGCAAAAATTGTTTTTAAATTCCTTATGCAGTCTGGAGAGCTTCTACCAGCAGGTAATTAGAATATGCAAGTATGTTCAGGACTTGAATCATATAGATATGTTTAAAATGTTTCACACACAGTCCCTTATAAAGTTATAGTACATGTGCAAAACATACATGTTTATACATACGTGTCTAAGAAATCTAACCACACACATGCAAATGAGAAACATGACTAAATCAACTGCAGATGGAAATACAGTATTTTATTCCAAAGTTTGTATAGTTCAAATATAATTTGGGAAAACAAAACTTAGCTCAAAGTCAAATCAAGTGACAAGTTCATACCTAAGAGCCCAGTATCTACATCTTCAGTTTTCAAATTTTCAGCATGCAACTCTGAAAACATAAAGAAAGGTTTAGGTAGAAAAGCAACATCATTTCACAATTTGAAGAGTAACTCCCAAGACTTGGAAGACATTGTAGAACTGTATAAAATGCTTTGGAGTTGGTCTGGGGTCAAATTCTAATTTGATTTACTAGCTACATGACCTTCAGCAAGCAAATAAGATCTTTGTTTTCAAGACATTTTATGTTACAAATTTAAGGTCATACTAGATTTTGAGTTCAGCTCCTTTTTTAATTCTCCAAAATATCATCAATGTCTTCTGCAATGAACTTCCATTTAGCTGGTTATGTGACTTTATAATAAAACTATCTACAAGAAAAAAACATCAGGTTGCAGAGAAAAAAAAGGGTCAAGGGTAATAAAGAATTAGCAATGGTTGCAGAGAAAAAAGGATCCAGAGTAATAGAGAATTCACACTAGGAGACAAACATTTAAGATTGATAGTTTACATGGAATACTATGTTGTGAAGAGGTAAAATTCACAGGATAGCCTGCCAATCTGTCTTCTTCATGAAAACCAAGTACAGTAAACTGCTGGAGGCCATTTGCAGCTCTGGGGAGGGTGGGGGGGCCTAAGAAAAATCACTAATGCAGGGCTTGGGCTGTAGCTTACTTAGCACATATGTGGTTCAGGGTTCAATTCCCCAACAGTGCAAAAGATAACTAGTTGGAGTTAATTAGATTTTAATTAGTAAGGAAAAAAAATACACTGACAAAGTATTGAGTGTTTATACAAGAAAGGTTCCCCCCTCTTTTTTTTTCAATAATTTGGCCAAATTAGTGAGAACTGTTTCCATTGTAATAAATACCTAATCATACACTACATCCATGCAAGCTTTGGAAAAACTTTCACAACACACCTATTTTTCTTCCAGGTCAATATTTCAACTTCAGACAGAAAGAAGTGAAATTAGTAAAGGAAGAAGATTCTATCTCCTGCAATTAAGCTGCATGTTATACGTAGCTTCAAATAATACAAAATTGTGAAGATATTTATCTATAAAAGTAGAAATCTTGACTGGGGATAGAAACCCTTGTTCTTCCGGAATTCTCAGTTTAGGGATGAATAAGGAGATAGCACACTTTTAACCATTTGTGGAGCAAAGGCTATATCATCTGTGTGTACATATTTACATACATATACAAATGCATATAATCTATTTTAAATGCATGCACTTCTCACCAGCTCCCTTTAAAGGTGAGTGTTCTACGTTTTGCTTAATCAAGCTAATATTTCACTGACTTCAGTACCCATTTAATCACTTTAACGAGTCTCTTCAATAGGCCCAAGCGAGCTCCATCTCTGAAGAGAAAACAAAGGGGAAGAGCAAAGAAAGCTACACATCGGGGAGTGAGTGGAAAGCGGCTGCCCACGTTCAGCAGGGAAGGGTGTGGACGAAGGGCTCTGCCGCCTCCAAGTCCACTCTACTTTAGATACTTTAAAAGCCTGTGCTCAGTACCTTTAACGACCAGGTAGGCGATGGCCAGGAGGAAAGCGAGGACGGCGGCGAACAGCAAGGAACAGAGAATGGAGAGAACCTGGACGGGCCACCGCCGAGCCTGGGTTCGGCTTCCCGCAGCCGCAGGGAAGGCGCCGTTGCGTTTGTCCGGCAGGACCGGCGACCCATCCCCGCCGGGCGGGACCAGCCGGCCCCTTCTGGGCTCGGACGCGATCCCGGCCGAGAACTCCGCCCGCAAGTCGCGGGCCACTAGATCGCCTCCTCCCTCTTCGTCGACATCACCCTCGCCCCAACTCTCTCCCTGAGTGAAGATGGAATTTAAAGGCCGAGAAAGAGGGACCGGGGTGCCCAGCCGGCGACTCCGCGGACCAAGATACCTTCCGCTCCCTACAAACGACATGGCGGGAAAGACTAACTGACCGCGCAGGACTAGTCGCCCAACACGCCGCCCCGCACCGGCCAATCAGAGGCCAGCGTCGCCACGGCCTCTACCACTGCGCCAGTTTGCGGGGGTGACGAGAGGGCGGGACCAGACCCGCCCCGGAGCTGTCAGAGGAAGGGAAACGGGAAGGGGCCGGGACTGGCCGAGGCCGAGCGTAGCCGAGTCTCCTTCCCCCGCAGCGTGTCATCTTGGGCAAACAACTTCGCCACCGCCGTGTCGCTTGCAGGCAAGCGGCGCTCAAGCAGTCCCAAAGCATACTCTTCTTGACCCCGGGTCCTAGAGCCCGCCTCTGCCGCTAATAACATCGCCTAGCTTATTAGCTCGCGCCCTTCTACGTCTCTAAATTCACTCTCTCCCGCTCCCGCCATTAAAGTCAGCTAAACGCCGCGCGCCCCCTTTCTGCCTTAGATGCCTAACCTTTTCTCCCTTTTGGGTTGCGACCCCCGCCCTC